ATTTTGGCTTCAAATTCTTTTTAATAAATGATTCACAAAAGAAAAAGATTTCTAAGATATGATATTTAAGTTGCTATAGGCTAATTAATAAATATAATGTTAAATTATTTTTATAGCGCATTTGAGAACTTTCAGTTGCTATAATTAAACTTTCCTTTTTTATACTCTAGAAAAATGAGCTGAAAAAAATTACTTCACTTTTTTATAATTCTTTATAGGTGTCCTCTTAACTAATAGGAAGTTTATAGCTAATTTAGAATATAATCGTAAAAACCCGTTAATTAGTTGAAAGTTGATGAAAAGTAATTTTATTGTTTAAAATAGTATTATTATTATGACTATTATTATTATTATTTTTTTTTTTTTTGCTTTGGGAATTTTTGTTATTTTTTGTTATTTTTTGTTATTATTGCTATTATTATTATTATTATTATTATTATTATTATTATTATTATTATTATTATTATTATTATTATTATTATTATTATTATTATTATTATTATTATTATTATTATTATTATTATTATTATTATTATTATTATTATTATTATTATTATTATTATTATTATTATTATTATTATTATTATTATTATTATTATTATTATTATTATTATTATTATTATTATTATTATTATTATTATTATTATTATTATTATTATTATTATTATTATTATTATTATTATTATTATTATTATTATTATTATTATTATTATTATTATTATTATTATTATTATTATTATTATTATTATTATTATTATTATTATTATTATTATTATTATTATTATTATTATTATTATTATTATTATTATTATTATTATTATTATTATTATTATTATTATTATTATTATTATTATTATTATTATTATTATTATTATTATTATTATTATTATTATTATTATTATTATTATTATTATTATTATTATTATTATTATTATTATTATTATTATTATTATTATTATTATTATTATTATTATTATTATTATTATTATTATTATTATTATTATTATTATTATTATTATTATTATTATTATTATTATTATTATTATTATTATTATTATTATTATTATTATTATTATTATTATTATTATTATTATTATTATTATTATTTCTATTATAATTTATAATTATTATAAAAATGATTATTATTATTATTTTTTCTATTATAATTTATAATTATTATAATAATGATTATTATTATTATAATTATTATAATTATTATAATTATTATTAAAAAATTATCATTAAATCACAAAAAAATATAATTATTATAATTTAATTTTTTTGTCTCTTTATTTTTATCATTAAGATAAATAATGAAAAGCGAAAAAAAAATTCAGTTTATATGAAATAATTATTTATATGTATATTTGAAAATTGAAAATCATTGTAAAGTTTAAAAGTACTTTCCACGGCTCTGCCTGAGACTAAGAATAGTTTTGTAAAGCAATATCACTTTCCCGGCTTTCTTGAAGTGACCACGCCCAATTCTTGCAGTTTTGTATATACGTAAATCACGATTTATAAATGTAGTTCGATCGGAGGAGAAAGACTTCTTTTATCATTACTTTATTCGTACCCATAAAAGATTAAACTATAAAATTATTATAAATTTTAAATGACCTTGTTTGTGATCACAGGCATAGGATATAAATAATTTATATCTCGTTGTATACTTATAATAGTGAAGAAATCTGATTTAATAAAATTTTATTCTAAAACCGGAAGATCCGGTGTATCAACTTTTTTTTTTCTACATGAAAGTTGTCAAATTTTTCGAATACAATATTCTCGCGGGATTATAAGAATGGAAGTTTACGTGTCGTGTGTATATAAAATTAGACTTTTATTTGTTTTTTTTTTTTTAAATATTTATTTGTATCGAACAACTTTGTTTTTTTTTATTGTTTTTATGGGGATAATTTATTGGAATTATTTAATAATTTTATTTTTCGTTATTTTTGTTATTCAATAAATGGTTTTAATAATTTAATTTGATAGAGTAAATTATTAATTTAATTATAAATAGACAAATCTTCAAAAATTATATTTAAATAATTTTTCTAATTAAATTTTCGAAATTTACAATTAAAAAGAGTTTAAATAATTGAAATTTTGTAAAATTTAATTAAAAATAATTGATTTTTTTCAAATTTCAAACAATTTTTGAAAATCAACTTTTGAAGAATTTTAATTGCAAATTTTTAAAATAATTTAAATTGAATCCAATTTTAATTGAATCCAATTTTAATTGAATTCCTCAGAAGATTTCAATTTTTAAAACAACTTTTAATATATTTCGAATAAATTCAATTATTTTCTAAAATCTTAATAAATCCTTTGAAACAATTCAATTATTTTTATAAATAGTAAAATTCTTCGTAAGAATTCAATTATTTTTATAAATACTAAATAAATTTTCAAAATTTACAATAAAAAAAGAGTTTCAATATTTGAAATTTGGTAAAATTGAATTGAAGATAATTGATTTTTTTCAAAGTGATTTATACAAATTTTTGAAAATCAACTTTTAAATAATTTTAATTGGAAATTTTGAAAATAATTGGTTTCTCAAAAATTTTAATAAATAATCTTCAAGTGTAAATTTAAAAATGGTAATTAATAAAAATTAGCTTCTAAAAATTATATTAAAATATTTAAAAAAAAAAAATTGTTAGAATTTTTGAAATTCTAATGTTTTAAATTCAATTATTTCCAATATTTTCAAATACAAATTTCCAAAAATTCAAATACATGCAAAAATAATATCATTAAAATTTTGTACAATTATTTTTAACATTTTAACAAGATATTAACAATCATGTTCAAAATTTTTAATCAAAATTCGTCAAAAATGATTTTTTTTTAAATTAAATACAAAAATTCTTTTAAGAGATTCAATTATTTTTTTAATAGAATTTACAACATTTCAATTGTTTGAAAATTTTCTAATTATAAACTTTTTTTCTATTTTAAATCGACTTTATAATTATGGTTTTACAATTTTATGAATTGCAATTATAATTTTTTTACAATTATACTTAATTATAATATTCTGGTTAGATCTTTAAAAATTAAAATTTAATTTTTTTATGATTTAAAATTATGATTATGATTTTGAATGGATATATGATGTATATTTACACTCAAAATTATAATATAAAAATATTTTTTAAAATAAAATATCTCTATTGATAAATAAATAAAATAAATGAAATAAATAATTTACCAATTTAATATTCAATCACTATTGGTTTTCAATTCAGTTTTTCGAAATTAAATATAAAGAAATATATTTGAATTAACTGTTTATATTTTTTTTTAATTAATTACTAAATTGTAATATTTATTTTATTTACCTACTGTCGATGTTTAATTGACTGCTGGAATACGTATTTAAAATCGGCTTGGATGGTGATGCTTTCTACCGGTCGTGTACTTAACTTTCTACAACGATTTTCGTGAATTCTACATTATCAACCTTTCCGGTTTATTTTTTCTTGTAAATTTTGATTTTTGCAATTTTATTTATTGTCATTTATTTAAAAACACTCTCTTTATAAATGAAAATTTAGTTTTGTCTTATTTCATTTTTATTTTATTATTTATTTGTTTATTATATTTATTTATTTATTCAATTATTTATCCCATTTACTACTTATAAATAAATAAATAAATAAATAAATTGTTATTATTATTTAATGAACAATTTATTTAATTGAATTTCTATAAAATTTTTATTATTTTATGAAAATAATGAATTGTTTGCGTAGAATTTTATTAAAATTTTTTTAAATAATTGAATTCTTTAAGAAAAATTATTATTTTAAAAAATTTTCCAAAATTCTCGTCAAGATTTCAATTATAACTTCATATAAATAGAAAAATTCTTTGCCAAAATTCAATTATTTTCAAAAACAAAATTTTTCACAGAAATTCAATTCTTTTGAAACATTTTAATAAAATTCTTTGCAGAAATTCAATTATTTTCAAAAATTAAAAAAAATTCAATTATCTCTATAAATAATAAAATTCTTCTCCAAAATTCAATTATTTTCAAAAATTTTAATACAATTCTTGGAAAAATTGCAATGATTTCAATTATTTTCAAAAACTTTCTTCAATACAATGATTTTCAATTTATACTATTTTAATGAAATTTTCCAAAAGAATTTAATTATTTAAAAAAAATTTTAATAAAATTCTACCCAAACATTTCATTTCTTTCATAAAATAATAAAAATTTCATAGAAATTCAATTATTTGCAAATTTTTTCAATAAATTTCTTCGCAATAATTGAATTCTTTTCATAAATAATAAAATTTGTAAAAGATTCAATTATTCTCGTAAGTAAAAAAGTTCGTTTTAGGAATTCAATTATTTTTATAAATAATAAGTTTAGGATTAGTTTAGGATTTAATAGTTAACGAATTAGTTTACGAATATATTTATATATTTTAATTTATATTAATTGTAATTTTTATTTATTAATTATATTTATATTATCAAGAATAAATTTTTAGCTTTCGATTTTAAAATTATTTTCGATACTTTTTTATATTTTGAATACAGAATTTAGTATTTTATGAGAATAGCAATTATTTTTGATATCAGATTTTTTTAAATTGGTATTATAAATTAAATACAAATACATTGAATTATAAGTTAAAAAGAATAAATTACAATACACTAATTTTTCTTTATAGAATATATTTTCAATTTTAGAATATTTTTTTGTTTCGTAAAAAAATAAAATTGTCTTTAACGTCCGAGTGGTTTTAATAATAAGACAAGACTCTTAATAAAGAAAGTAAAATAAAAAATAAGAAATTAAAATGAAAAAAGTAAAGTAAAAATTAATGAAACAAAATAATAAAATAAATTTTCTTGAGAACGAAAAGTATAAAAATACTTTTGTAGTTAAACAAAAGTTTGTTCGATTTTTCTTCAAGTACCTAATTATAAATCGAATGAGATTTAGGAAAAATAATAACAGTAAATATTCTTAAGTATAAAAATTTATTTTATTTAAGCTCGTAATACACGTCATATTATCTAAGATCCCCTCGATTAGCTGCAACAGAGAAATGAAGAAAATTTCCATTAGTTTTGATATATTTAAAAAAAAAGAAATAAAAAAAATAGACAAAAATGTATTTGCAAAAATACAGTTTTATATTTGCAATTTTCTCATGCTGTTTAAACTTACCATTTAGCAATAGTGAAGGGTTTACAGGAATCAGAAGGCCTATCATAGGTTTCTCCTATACCGCATTGAACAAGTTCTGGTCTTTCATTTCTACAAACGATTACACTCGTACAAGAGTCATTTAACCTATGGATAAGACCAGATTGGCAAGGAACTTTTGTAAACTCTAATGGAATAGAATTTAGAACTTGTTCCCATGGATTCGATATCGTTAGGGCTTCTATGTCGGCGCTGTCCGGACTTGTCTTTGAACAGAAAAAATAGTCGAATTAATTTTTTTTTGTTTTACAAAATTTAGTGGTAGAATTGTAATAATTAATCTTCGCGCTAATGAAGGTTAGCGAATCGGATCAAATTGATACCAAACTAGATTAGGTTTAGAGTTTTCCTGAGGGTAACACTTTTGATTCGTTTTTCGTCTCAATTTTGTTATCCTCAGAAAACTATGTTGGTTCAAATTCATACCGAAAATTTGAAGCTAATTGTTACCAAATTGGATGAAATTTATACCATATTTAATCAAATTAGTAGTTTTTGTTTGTTTGACCGTATAATTAATTAAAATTAAAACAATTTTAATTATTTTTTTCAGATATTTTAATCCTTTTTGAAATCTTTTTATGATGTGTCCAATATTTGGATAATTTTCTGTAAAATTGTTCATCCCCTGATGAGGAACCATATGGTTCGAAACTAGTCGGGATTATAAAATAAACATCATATAAAATAACCGTATCTAGGCCTTTTCATTATCCTACAAAATTTAATCAAATTAGTTGAAATTTATACCAAACTGGAAAAAAATTTGTAACGAATTGTTAACAAATTGTTTTAAATTGTTACCAAATTGGTTCAAATTCATGCCAAATTAGTACAGATTGATACCAGAAATTTGAATCTAATTGTTACCAAGTTGGATCAAATTAGGATTAAATAGATACTAAATTGTTGCCAATTTAGTTTAGTTTATTGTCAATTTAGTTCAAATTGTTAACAATCAAGATCAAATTTTTACCAATTTAGTTCAAATTGATACCAAATTGTTGGCTATTTAGTTCACATTCATCTCAAACTGATGCCAATTCAGTTTAAATTGATACCAAATTGTTACCAATTTAGTTACAATTATTACCAAATTGTTACCAATTTAGTTCAAATTATTACCAAATTGTTACCAATTTAGTTCAAATGTTACCAATTTAGCTCAAGTAGATACCAAAAATTGGATAAAATGAATAAGAATTTGGTTCAAATTGAAACCAAACTGGATCAAATTGCTACCAAATTAGTTCAAGTTGATGCCAAAAATTTGATGATGATGATTGTTACCAGAAATTTAAAGCTAATTGTTACCAAATTGTATTAAATTCATACCAAAAATCAAAGTAGTTGAAATTTATATTAACTTGGATTAAATTGTTACCAAATTGGTTGAAATTAATATTAGATAGCTAGGATTAAATTGGTATCAAATTCGTCTAATTGATACTAAATTAGTTCGAATTGATATCAACGATGTAAAGCTAATTGTTACCAAATTAGAAGTAATTCATACCAAATCTAATCAAATTAGTTAAATTGTTACCAAATTGGTTCAAATTCATGCCAAATTAGTTCAAATTAATACCAGAAATTTGAAGCTAATTGTTATCAAATTTAATGAAATTAGTTTAAATTTTTACTAAACTGAATCAAATTGATAGCAAATTGGTTCAAATTGGTAAAAATGGTTCAAATTCATTCCAAATTAGTTCAAATTGATACCAGAAATTTAAAGCTAATTGTTACCAAATTTAATCAAATTAGATGAAATTTACACCAAACTGAATCAAATTGATAGCAAATTGGTTCAAATTGGTTTAAATTCATGCCAAATTAGTTCAAATTGATACCAAAAAGTTGAAGCTAGTTCTCGAATTGTTACAAAAAAAAGTTGAAGCTAATTGTTAACAAATTGTTGCAAATTGCTACCAAATTTGTCCAATTTGATATTAACTGGGATTAAATTGGTACCAAATTAGTTCAAATTCATGCCAAATTAGTTCAAATTGTTACCAGAAATTTGGAGTTAATTGTTACCAAAGTGTACCAAATTAGAATTAAATTGATACCAAATTATTGCCAATTTAGTTCAGTTTATTGACAATTTTGTTGAAATTGTTACCAATTTAGTTCAAATTGATACCAAATTGTTGCCAATTTAGTTAAAATTGATACCAAACTGTTGCCAATTTAGTTTAAATTGATACCATAATTGTTGCTAATTTAGCTCAAATGGATACCAAATTAAATAAAATTAATAACAATTTGATTCAAATTGACCCAAAAACTTTGAATTTAATTATTACTAAATTGAATCAATTTAATATTATCGAATTAAAAATACACACGTCTGTGAATCACGTTTTGGAATTCGTGAATTCTTATTTGTTTCAATTCTCATTTTAATTTATTCAAAATTTTCGTTTCTCCCTGCACTTAATATATCAATGCCAAAAATTTTTTTTTCCTTCTCCCCTTTTAAAAAGTAAAAAATATATCTGTATTAATCAAGTATAGAGGAATAAATTATAATTTTCAGACTGATAGGAAATCAGAGAAACTTCTATTCATCAAAGCAGATTCACTCTTTATTTTCTTTAGTTTTTGTGGTATTTATTTTTATTTATTTATTTATTTTTTTTTGAAATTCCAACTCTACCTGATCCAGACTTTCGTTGTCGAGTTCTATTTGTGCAGAAGCTGGTCGTTGATGCCAAGAATCAGGTTCTATCCTGGTTCCTTGGGGTGGTGGTTGATAGGGGGGGAGGTTGGGACCAGTTGGCGGCTCCCACGGATTTACAGGTGGCCTTGGAGGACCAACTGGTGGTAATGTTGGTGGCGTAGTTTCCGGAGTCGGTGGCGGTGGTGGTCTGGGGGTGGCTGCTCCCTTGCAATCGACTTTGTAGGGATAGTCACAAACCATTAATTCCTTTAAAATAGAAATCAAAATGGGAATTTAGTTTTTTTCTTTATTTCTCCTTTATTTTTTTGGCAGCAATTTTGTTCTCTTTCAATTTTCTTTCTTTATTTTTTTGTCTTCAATCTTGTTCCCAAAGAGAACAAAATTGAAGACAAAAAATAAAGAAGAAAGATTTTAGGAAATAAGTTCAAAATAAATACTACTCTTAAATAATAAAATTAAAAAAAAACGCAGTAACTGAAGCATGTGTAGGAATTTCTACGCTCACTCTATTCAGGGCTCGGATTGTGCGACTAATTGACTTTTTTCACATTTTTCAATTACTTTTTGACTTAAATTTTAAATAGCAAAAATATTTTTTTTTTGTAAATTATCTATTATTATCTACTAAATAATAATCTTCGTATTTCATTCTTTCATTAATTCTGTCTGTCCACACTTTGTTTATTATATACATTTTTCTATAACAAATTTCTTTTGATTGATCTAAATTATGAAAATTTCTCTCTTTTTTATTTATAAAATAAAAATAAATAAAATAATAAATAAATAATAATTATTATTATATTATTATTAAATAATTATTATATTATTATTATTATTATTATTATTATTATTATTAGTATTATTATTATAAAATAAATACAATAATAATAAAATAAAAAAAAGTTATGTTACATTTATTTACGAATTTCTTTTAAATTATTCGAAAACATCAATAACATCTTTTTAAATAAGTATTTAATTATTATATTTTTCCATAGAAATTAAGATTTTAAAAAATTTCAAATTCAAACATTTTTGAAATTAAACAACTTTAAAAAAATTGTTATAAAACATGAAGAAATCGATCACTCCGAGTCGAAGACTCGGAGCAATTATTTTCTAGAATTTTTAACTAAAATTCTTCTCTAAATCAACTATTTTTAATAATTTTTGAAAAAGTTCTTTGAGAATTTGCAAATACATTTGTCTAAAATTCAATTTTACAAAATTTGGATTATTCGAAAATTTTTTTATTAAAAATACACTGTAAGAAAAATTTTGGAAATTTCCCCAAAAAAAATTTAGAAGCAAAAAGCAAATTCCACTAATTATTTAGAAAAATTTACTAACATAGATGAAGGAATTTTTCTAAAAAAATTATTGAAAACCTCCTATGAATTTAGAAACATTCCCATGAAATATTGTAGAAAAAATCCCAATAAGTTTGGAAAAATTCTCTTAAACCTTTAGGAAAATTTCATTATTAAAATATAGGAAAAATTCGGAGAATTTGGAAAAATTTCCATAGTTGAAAAAATTTTCATGTAACTTGAAATTATTTTTAAAAAAAATTAAACTAAACTTTTTCAAAAAAAATAATTCTTCAAAACTGCCAGTTAAGATTAATAGAAATTTCAAATTTTTAAATATTTTAATTTGAATGTGTTTTAAAATTTAATTCTTATAAAGAATTTTACCAAAAAATTTTTAAATAATTGAATTCTTTTGGAAAATTTTAATAAATTTTTTATGAATAATTCCTTTTTTCGATGAATTCGATTAAAATTGAATTCCTAAATCAAATTTATTATTTATAAAAATAATTGAATTCATAAAAAAAAAGTTATTATTTATGAACTTAATTGAATTATTGCGAAGAAATTTATAGAAAATTTGTAAATAATTGAATTCCTGTGCAATTTTTCTTATTTATGAAAATAATTAAATTTTTGAGTACAATTTTATTAAATTTTTGTTTCAAAAAATTGAATGTTTTTGGGAAATTTATTAAAATAGTAGATATTGAAAATCATTAAAATGAGAAAAATCTTGGAAAAGAATTTTGTTATTTATAAAGATAATTGTAATTTTGACAAGAATTTTTCTTTAAATTTTGAACATAACTGAACTTTTGTAAAAAGAATTTTATTACTTTTGAAAATAATTAAATTTCTGCAATTATTTGTAACTTCTTTAAAATTCAATTCTTTAAAAATGTTTTTAAATAAAATTTTCTATACTTTCATTATTAATTAATAATAATAAAGCACATGTTCCGGTAATCTGTTAGCAGTTTGAAGTTTGTTGTTGTTTGCTTTTTTGTTTCTTAAATTTTTTATAATTTTTCTTTTAAAATATTTTCAATTATTTTAAAATTAACGTATTGAAAATCATTATATTGTTGCAAAGAATTTTATCAAAAAATTTGATAATAATAGAATTCCTTCAAAGAATTTTATTATTTAGGAAAATAATTGAATTCTCGCGAAGAATTTTATTAAAATTTTTAAAAATCCTAATTAAATTCTTTTGAAGAATTTCTTTGAATTTCTTTTAAACTAATGGAGTTTCTTTAATAATTTTAATTTGAAAATTTTGAAAGCAATTGAATTTTATAAAGAAGAATTTTATTAAAATTGTATTGAAAATAATTGAATTCTTGCGAAGAATTTTACTATTTATAAAAATAATTGAATTTTTCCGAAGAATTTATTAAAATTTTAGAAAATAAATGAATTTTATGTTAATGTTTAAAAATTTAAATTCTTACGAGGAATTTTATTTAAATTGTTTTAAAAAAAGTTGAATTTCTGCAAAGGATTTTACTATTTATAAAAATAATTGAATTATTGTGAAGAATTTTACTTTTTATAAAAATAATTGAAATGTTTCGAAGAATTTAAAATTTTAAGAAATAATTAAATTGTTATGAAGAATTTTATAGAAATATTTAAAAATAATGAAATTTTTTCGAGAAATTCAATTAAAGTGGTTTCGAAAATAATTGAATTTCTTTGAAGAATTTTATTAAAATTAAGTATATTCAAAATAATTGAAATATTCATCACAAGAATTTTATTATTTTTTGAAAATAATTGAATACTTTTAATTTTTTTGACGAATATATTTAAAAATAGTATTGAAAGTAATTTAATTTTTATATCAAATTTTTTTAAAAATATTTTTTGAGAATAATTGAATTATTTTTAGAGAATTTAACATTCTTGTTGAAATTGAATTTCATGGAAATTTTTGAAAATAATTAGATTCTTTCGTGTAATTTTATTTAAATTGGATTAAAAATTATTTAATATTGCTAATATTTATAAATTTATATATTTAAACATATTTATGTAATAAGTTATATTTATAAATTTATAAAAGTTATATATTTATAATTTTATTAAAGTTATTTTCATAAATTTATGTAATAAATTATATCTATAAAATTCTGTTGAATGTGAATAAAAATTAACGAAAACGAGTACTAACGTCATTGTAGACCAGTTCGGATGGACAGTTAAACTTAATCGGACTTCCATCGAGGCAAACGTAGAATTCTGAACAGTTGGTCGAGCTCCTGTAACGCCCATTCATTTCTGGACAGCGTTTCGTTCCCGAGGGTAATGGAGGTTCTGTAAAAATACAAAAAAAAAAAAATAAATAAATAAATGAAATAAATAAAAACAAGTTGAGGCAAAATCCCAGATTTAATTGGACGTGAATCGATTTATAAAATTATGCACTCTGGATAATTTTCTTCAAATGAGGGTTTCGCAATTAAGACCGGATATCAGATTATTTTTCCACTTATTCTCTATTCGAAAAAATGCCCCAAGAACTTACAAATTTACAAAAATAAAAATTATTTTCCAGATATTATGTTTGATGAAAAAATTTTTAATTTGCAAAATAATTGTTAAAGAACAAAATAAATTAAAAAAAGAAGCACTTGAAGAAAAATTTTATAGTGTCTTCTATTTTTGTAGAAGAAAATTTTTTTAAGAAATTTTATTGTTTATTTATTGCGAAAAATTCTTTCCGCTCAACGAAGAAAAAGGGGAAAAGCTATCAATTTTGAAGTCATAAAAAAGCATATGAGTGTAATTTGCATCTCGTACATATAATGTTGAAAAATAAAAATAAAAATAAAATAAAAGATTCGATTGTAGTTGCAGAAAGGCCTTCGGTTTAAGGTCAAAGAAAATTTTACTTGCAATTCGTCTGGGCATTTCAAAACTATTAAACCTGAAGTGGAATTTTGAATTCAAGACGCTGCGTCCGAGATTTATCGACTGCACAATTCTCTCTATAAGATATCCATCCAATCTCAATGATCCTTTTTTCCAATCACGTTCTTTATTCGTCGAATAATTTTTTCTACACGTTCAAAATTCTGTCATCAGTGTTAATTCAAAAGCTGAACACGAGGTCTAAAATATGACTAGAATTCGACGTGTCATATCGTTGTTCTCTTTCGCTTATTTCCTTATTTTGCCTTTTCTGGCAACTCACAAATATTTTCAGTTTTTGCTGGGAAAGCATTGAATTGCTAATTTTTGAATTAAATTCTCGTCAAATTTTTTCTATCTTGAAGAAAATTAAAAAAAAATAAACTAAGATTTTGTTTAATTTACTCTTAAAGAATTTTTTTCGATTATATTTCCCCAGGAGAAAGTACAAAAAAATCTAGGACTAATTTTAATTTTTAATTTTCGTGCTACCAACGATACTTCCGCGTGAATAAGGTGACAAAAGTTATGAACAATTTCTTTAAAGTTTTTAAAATAATCGTATTGGTTAATAATTGAAAATAAACATTTAATTATATGAATTTTATTAAAATTTTAAAAAATATTTGAATTCTTTTGAAAAAATTTATAAACGAACAATTAAGAACAAAATTGAATTCTGTCGTGAAATTTTTTTTGAAAATAATTGAATTTTTGCAAGGAATTTTACTTTTTTCAAATATAATTGAATTTTTTCGAAATATTTATTAAAATGTTAGAAAATAATTGAATTCTTTTAAAATATTTTATATCGAATTAAGAAAAAAATTCAATTCTTTCCTGAAATTTTTTTGAAAATAATTGAATTTCTGCAAAGAATTTTTGCTATTTTCAAATATAATTGAATTTTTTCGAAAAATTTATTAAAATTTTCTAAAATAATTAAATTCTTTTGAAATATTTTATAACAAATTCAGAAAAAAAAAATTGAATTCATTCGTGAAATTGTCTGGAATATAATTAAATTTTTGCTAAGAATTTTAACATTTATAAATAAAATTGAATTGATTCGAACGATTTATAAAAATTTGTTAAAATAATTGAATTCTTTTGAAATATTTTATATCGAATTAAGAAAAAAATGCAATTCTTGCGTGAAATTTTTTTTAAAATAATTGAATTTTTGTAAAAAAATTTAGTATGAATAAAAATAATTGAATTCTTACGACGAATGTTATTATTTATGAAAATAATCGAATTGGGTTAAAATTTTTGATAATTCTAATTAAATTCTTTTTGAAGAATATATTCTTTAAATTTTGTTTTAAATAATATGGAGATTTTTAGAAAATTTTAAAAATTATTGAATTTTAATGAACAATTTCTATTATGTTTTTAAAATAATCGTGTTTGTTAATAATTGAAATTAAACATTTAATTATTAAATGTTATTAAAATTTTAGAAAATAATTGAATTTTTTTGAAAAAATTTATAAACGAATTAAGAAAAAAAATTGAATTCTTTCGTGAAATTTTTTTAAAAATAATTGAATTTTTGCAAAGAATTTTACTATTTTCAAATATAATTGAATTTTTTCTAAAAATGTATTGCAATGTTAGAAAATAATTGAATTCTTTTGAAATATTTTTTATCGAATTAAGAAAAAAATTCAATTCTGTCCTGAAATTGTCTTGAATATAATTAAATTTTTGCAAAGATTTTAGAAAAAATAATTGAAATTTTTCCAAAAATATATTAAAATTTTAGAAAATATTTGAATTCCTTTGAAATTTTTTATAACGAATTAAGAAAAAAAAAATTGAATTCATTCGTGAAATTGATTTGAATATCATTTAATTTTTTTAAAGAATTTTACTATTTAAAAATATAATTGAATTGTTTTGAAGGATTTAAAAAATTTTAGAAAATAATTGAATTTTTTCGAAAAATATTGTTCCAATTTTTTTAAAAATTGAATTCCTTCGAAGATCGAATTTAAATTGTTTCGAAGGGTTTATAAAAATTTTAGAAAATAATAATTGAATTCTTTTGAAATATTTTATATCGAATTAAGAAAAAAATTGAATTCTTTCGTAAAATTTTTTTAAAAGTAATTGAATTTGCAAAGATTTTACTATTTAAAAAAAATAATTGAATTGGTTCGAAGGATTTATTAAAATTTTAGAAGATAATTGTATTCGTTCGTGAAATGTTATTAAAATTTTGTTTAAAAATAATTGAATTTTTGCAAAAAAATTTTACTATTAATGAAGTAATTGAATTCTTACGAAGAATTTTATTATTTTATGAAAATAATTGAATTTTTGCATAGAATTTTACTATTTTTTAAATATAATTGAATTGTTTCGAAGGATTTTAAAAATTCTAGAAAATAATTGAATTTTTTCGCAAAATATTATTAAAATTTTTTTAAAAATTGAATTCTTTTATAAAATGTTATAAAAATTGTATTAAAAACAATTGAATTTTACCATTTATAATTATAATTGAATTGTTTCGAAGAATTTTAAAATTTTAGGAAATAATTGAATTTTTTCGAAAAATATAAAATATTTTTTTTAAAAATTGAATTCTTTCATGAAATATTATTAAAATTGTATTAAAAATAATTGAATTTTTGCAAAAAAATTTTATTATTTATAATTAAAACTGAATTGTTTTGATGGATTTAAATAGAAATTTTTAAAAATAATTGAATTCTATTGAAATGTTTTGTATTAAATTTTTTCTAAGAATTTTATTAAAATTTTTGAAATTAATAAATGAGAATAATTAATTAGAAAATTAGTTAATAATTGGATTTTAGTAACATTTGCTAGTTAAAAAATAAAGAATTAATAAATAGAAAAAATACTGATAGATAAAGGGGGAAAAAATTTTTATTTCTTTTCAGAATTTGCAACCTTCGGCAAATAATTAAAAAAAATAAGTAAAAGAAATATTTTAAAACCTAATTCTGAATGAATGATTATTTACTTGCGTTCGAGAATTTGTTTTCGTGTAATTTCCGTTTTGTAATTGAATTTCCGGTTTTTGCAGTGTATACGGCGCTAAAGAGGTAAAATTGCATGTTTCTCTCCTTGCCAACTGTCTTGTCGATCCTATCAATCAAAGCGGGTATAATTTTCTCCTTTGAGCTTCATCGGTGTGCGTTGAGCAAGTGAATTAGCATTTTAATTATTATGCGAAGGGATATAGTCATTTTAATGCTGGCGTAACGCTCACTATATACATTTGTTGCATTAAAATGATCATGTTCGCGCCGCGGGTGTTTCTCATATTACACACTGTTAGCCAGAGTTCGCGAGTGCTTGCAATAAATCATGACCGCGCGCAAAAAAAGATTTTAATCGCTACCGATCAATTGAGACTCCGGATCTTAAAAGGGCACTTTTACCATTTAAAATCAATGCTGAAAGTGACCTTTTAAAATTCCGGAGCCTCAATTATTATTTTATGGATAAAATAATATACAGGTTCACCTACTTGATGTGGGTCCGGGTCTATTGCCGCACTTGACGTTCTCGGCGAAGTCGCAGTAGCTCCTCATTTCATTGAATAATAATCCATTGGGACATTTCTCCTCGATAACTGTATCGTCCCAACAATTATAATAATTTGCACAACTTTTTGGACTTGGGAATTGACCTCGTGGTTTGGGGCATTGACTAGGACGAGTTGGGGGTTTTGGTGGTGTTCCTGGTGAGCCTGGGGAGCCGGGCCAAGTTCCACCGGGAGTTCCTGGGGTTCCTGGTGAACCTGGGCTACCTGGCCAAGTTCCGCCGGGGGTTCCTGGAGTTCCTGGTGAGCCTGGAGATCCTGGAGAACCGGGTGAGCCGGGCCATGTGCCACCCGGGGTTCCTGGAGTTCCGGGTGAGCCTGGGGAGCCTGGCCAAGTTCCGCCGGGTGTTCCTGGCGTTCCTGGCGAACCTGGGGACCCTGGAGAACCTGGTGAGCCGGGCCATGTACCACCTGGGGTTCCTGGAGTTCCGGGTGAGCCTGGGCTACCTGGCCAAGTTCCGCCGGGGGTTCCTGGAGTTCCTGGTGAGCCTGGGGATCCTGGAGAACCTGGGCTACCAGGCCATGTACCACCTGGGGTTCCTGGAGTTCCTGGTGAGCCTGGGCTACCCGGCCAACTTCCGCCTGGAGTTCCGGGTGATCCGGGTGAGCCTGGTGTTCCTGGAGAACCTGGAGATCCGGGCCAAGTTCCGCCTGGTGTGCCTGGAGTTCCTGGTGAACCTGGGCTACCCGGCCAACTTCCGCCTGGAGTTCCGGGTGATCCGGGCGAGCCTGGGGATCCTGGTGAACCTGGCGTTCCTGGCCAACTTCCGCCTGGTGTTCCTGGAGTTCCAGGACTACCTGGACTGCCTGGCCAACTACCGCCGGGAGATCCTGGTGTTCCTGGTGAACCAGGGGACCCTGGTTGTCCTGGTGTTCCGGGCCAGCTACCACCGGGGGTTCCTGGTGTTCCCGGCGAACCTGGGGATCCAGGCCAACTTCCGCCGGGAGATCCTGGCGTTCCTGGTGAACCAGGGGATCCTGGTTGTCCTGGTGTGCCGGGCCAACTTCCACCTGGCGATCCCGGTGTTCCTGGCGAACCTGGAGTTCCAGGCCAACTACCGCCTGGAGTTCCAGGCGTTGCTGGGGATCCTGGTGTTCCTGGAGAACCTGGCGTTCCGGGCCAACTTCCTCCTGGTGTTCCTGGAGTTCCTGGGCTACCTGGAGTGCCGGGCCAACTGCCACCTGGCGATCCTGGCGAACCTGGTGATCCTGGAGTTCCTGGTTGTCCTGGCGTTCCCGGCCAACTTCCACCGGGCGTTCCTGGTGTTCCTGGCGATCCTGGAGTTCCGGGCCAACTACCACCTGGAGATCCTGGCGTTCCTGGCGAACCTGGGGACCCTGGTTGTCCTGGAGTTCCGGGCCAACTTCCACCGGGCGTTCCTGGTGTTCCTGGCGATCCTGGAGTTCCGGGCCAACTACCACCTGGCGATCCTGGCGAACCTGGTGAACCAGGGGACCCTGGTTGTCCTGGAGTGCCGGGCCAACTTCCACCAGGCGTTCCTTAAATAAAACCAAAACCTTTTCGTACATTCCAATTTTTATCTCACATTCAACATCGATTTGCATATTTCCGAATCATTACCTGGTGATCCCGGTTGTCCTGGCGTTCCAGGAGCGCCTGGTCCCGACGGCCAGCCAGGATGATGTGGATGACCAGGATGATGTGGATGTCCTGGCAAATGTGGGTGTCCCGGTAAATGAGGATGTCCGGGTAAATGTGGATGACCAGGTAAATGAGGATGTCCCGGTAAATGCGGAGGAGGTATCGGATGTGGATGATTCGGATTATGTCCTGGCAAATGTGGATGATTCGGATTATGTCCCGGCAAATGTGGATGATTGGGATTATGTCCCGGCAAATGTGGATGATTCGGATTATGCCCCGGCCAATGTGGATGTCCCGGTTTTATCGGATGTGATGGTCCCGGAGTAGGTTTTATAGGTTTTCCCGGAGGTCCAGGTGTTCCTGGTGTTCCAGGCTGACCTATAGTGTAAAAATTCGGTTCAAAAAAATATTCCAACTAATATTTCCTATTTGAATAAATTGTTAATTTTAATTCAATTAATTTAGTTAGGTAATTGTTACTGACTTGGTGATCCTGGCGTTCCAGGTTGACCTGGAGTACCAGGTTGACTGGGTGCTCCCGGCGATCCTGGTGAACCTGGTGTTCCTGGTTGACCTGGCGAACCAGGTGTTCCAGGTGAACCGGGACTTCCTGGTGATCCAGGACCACTTGGCCACCCTGGCCTCGGGGGATTTGGCGAGTCAGGACCTCCGGAACCTGGATGTCCTGGTACACCAGGCCAACCACCGCCTGGTGATCCCGGTAATCCTGGATAACCCTGTCTCGCTTGAACCTCAGGTTCTTCAGTCGATGAATTTTCAACTTCGTTCGTTGAACCTTGCCATGAATTTTTTCTTGGATTTATTTTCTGTATATCAACGTTATCCCACAATTTATCCAAATCTGCAATCAAGTTAAATTAACGTTGAGTCCTTTGAGATTCTTCACATGATTAAGAAACAGTTTCAGCTATACCTAATATCCGTTATTTGTAAAAATTAAAATTTACATACTTTGCATTAGGAGGAGAATTTTTTTCCGATTGTATCAAAAAGATGACACGAATGCAAATTCTTGAATCATTTACAATTTTTATTAATGACTTCTCTTCTCTTCTATTTTTTTTTTTTTTTTTTTTGAGTTTAAAATTTATTGCATAATTGAATGTTATATTTGTATGGTGTGTATGCTAATTATGCGTGGCAAACTATTATATCAGCGAAGACGCCAATATTAATATTAATGGTGAAAAAATATCTAGAGATCTTTTTACTGCTATTTCTATAAGGAGGTTTCTTTAGAGTTAAAAGTATTTCTTTTACCCTCACCGTTAATGTGTTCAGGTATTGAATTCCTTTATCAAAAAACGAGCATTTGCAAGGATTGTAATGACTATTTAACGAGCAAGAAGATAAATTTAATTTACAGATAGGAGAATAAAGATCACTTTTCATTAAAATACGTATAAAGTTTCAAAGATATGAAAATCTTTTGCTTTTATAAGGTTGATCAAATCATTAAATTGAGTGTCGCTTTTCTACAAAAACAAAATTCCTTACTTTATAAATCAAATTCTATAAATATAATTATTTTACTAAAAATAAATTTACTGAACTAATAATTTTAGTAAAAAAAAGTGAAAGAATATTAAAACGTTCTTCTTAATATTTTTTTTACAAATGTTGCTATTTAAGAAAATAGATACTATGAAGTAATAAACTATTAATTGCTATTATATTGCTTATAAATTTATATTATTTATTCAGGGCTCGGATTGTGCAAATTTTTCGACTTTTTTCAACTTTTTTGTCAAAAAAAAAATGCGACCAATCGACTTTTTCCAGATTTTTTCGAGCAAAATGCGACTAATAGACTTTTTTCACATTTTTTAATTACTTTTTGACTTAAATTTTAAATAGCAGAAACATTTTTTTTAATTATCTATTATTATCTATTAAATAATAATCTTCGTATTTCATTCTTTCATTAATTCTGTCTGTCCACACTTTGTTTATTATATGCTTTTTTTCTAGAACAAATTTCTTTTGATTTATCTAAATTATGAAAATTTGTCTCTTTTTTATTTATAAAAATATTAAATAAAATTGTTAATTGTTAAAAAATTATGATTAAGAAATAGGAAATATACACATTTTATGCGTAATTTTTATTTCTCAAGAACAATATTCTTCACAAACTCATTCTTTTCTTTTGGAAAAGAAACATTACATATTCCCGTTTCTTAATATTTTTGTAAAAAATTCTCAATTTTTATAAGGAAAAAAAAAGTTCTGTTACATTTATTTACGAATTTCTTTTAAATTATTCGAAAACATCAATAACTGCTTTTTTAAATAAATATTTAATTATTATTATTTTTCCATAGGAATTAAGACTTTTAAAAATCATCATTTTATCATTTTAATTCAATTATTATTTTCTAGAATTTTCAATTATTTTTTAATGAAAATAATTCAATTCTTTAGAAGAATTTTATTAAAATCTAAAAGAATAATTGAATTTTTTCAAAATAATTTAATTAAAATTGTACTTAAAATAATTGATATCTTTCAAACAATTTTTTAAAAATATTTGAAAATAATTGAATTCCTGTAAAAATTCTAATATTTTTGTAAATAATTGAATTCTTTCAAAGAATTTAAAAAAAATATTTATTTAAACAATTGATTTTTTCGAGGAAGTGAAATTAAATTTTTAAGAATAATTACATTTTTTGAGTAATTCTTGTAAAATTGCATTAAAAAAAATTAAAATCCTGCGATGAATTTTACTATTTATGAAAATAATATTGAATAGATGCTAAAAATTTTACTAAAATTTTCAAAAATAATTGAATTTCTGTGAAAAATTTTGTTATTTTTGGAAATCAATGAATTCTTAATAAGAATTTTTATAAACATTGTTTTTAATAATTAATGTTTTCGAAATATAATAAATATTATGAAAATTTCATTTTAAATAATTGAATTCTTGTGTAAAACTTTATTTGTGAAAATAATTGAATTTTTCGATTAATTAATTTAAAATAGTATTAAAAATAATTGAAATTCTTCGATGAGTTTTATTATTTATGAACATAAATTTTTGCTTTAAAAAATAATTATTACGATTAAAAATTATTCTTGTGTCTCATTCCAAATAAAAAAAATTACAAATAAAATATTTGTCGAAATGAAATTGGAGTTTTTGTTATTTTAATATTTGATTTGGAGAATTGATAATTTTCTTGATAATTTATAAAAAAAAAATATTTTTCATTAAAATATTTTGTTACATTCTACACTCAATTCTAATAAAACTTATTTATTATTTTATTAAATAAAAAAAATAATAATTTATTACATTTATTAAATAAAAAAAAAGTTTTATTATTATTTTAAAATTAATGTATTGAAAATCATCGATTTGTTGCAAGGAATTTTATCAAAAAATTGGATAATAATAGAATTCCTTCAAAAAATTTTATTATTTAGCAAAATAATTAAATTCTCGCAAAGAATTTTATTAAATTTTTTAAAAATCCTAATTAAATTCTTTTGAAAAATTTCTTTAAATTTTTTTAAACTAATGGAGTTTTTCGAGGTTTTTTTAATAATTTTAATTGAAAATTTTGAAAGCAATTGAATTTTATGAAGAAGAATTTTATTAAAATAATATTGAAAAGAATTGATTTCTTGCGAAGAATTTTACTATTTATAAAAATAATTGAATTATTCAGAAGAATTTTTTTTAATTTTAGAAAATAACTGAATTTTATGTTAATATTTGAAAATTTGAATTCTTTCGAGGAATTCTTTTAAAATTGTTTTGAAAAGAATTGAATTTCTACAAAGGATTTTACTATTTTTAAAAATAATTGAATTATTGCGAAGAATTTTACTATTTTTAAAAATAATAAAAATGTTTCGAAGAATTTATTAAAATTTTAGAAAAAAATTGAATTTTTTTTCGAAATGTGTTAAATTTTTAAAAAATTGAATTCTTTCGAGGAATTCAATTAAAATTGTTTTGAAAATAATTGAATTTTTGTAAAGATTTTACTAAGATTTTTACTAAGATTTTTAACTAAGAAAAATTGTCTGACTAATAACGAAATTGTCCTTTTTGATATAAAAAAATTTTTTATTTAATCTTAATTATTACCGAATGGACTTTTAATTACAAAACTAATTAATTACAGTATTATCATTAATTATTCCCCTCGTTGGCAAACAAGAATGTAAATTTGTCTATTTTTATAAAAAAAAAGTATATTTGATATTCTCTTTTATTTTCATGAAAAATCTTCTCTTTATTTATAAAACATAAAAAAAATTGCAATAAGTGGATAATAATTTCAATTTGATAATAAGATTGAAAAAGTTTTGTGTGTATGTATAATTTAAGAGCACTTACAAGTCATTCATTTATTAATGAAGTTGCCCTTGCTTTATAAATCCCGTCCCTTAAGACCTTAAGTCATTAAAAGTGAGACCACATATACGATAAAAGATAAGTAGTCTTCTTCAGATATCTCTAACTATATTCGAGTGCTTATAAGATTAAAAGTATCATCTGCAAAATTTTCAAGTAGCCTTGATAGGAGAAAAAAAAATTACTTCTGTCTTTTTACTTTCAATACCGATGCTAAATAATAATTCACCAATAAATTAGTCACTGGACCATTGGCCGAGCCACATTGGCCAATGAAATGGAATAATCGTTTTTTTTATGGAATTTAAATAACCAATTAGGGAAAATATATTGTTTTCAGAGGCGAATATATAACTCGGTATTTTTAACAAAAAATTTCTTTTGGATGAGTAATTGATAATTGGTATTTTTTTATAGTTTTACATTCTTATGAAGGTTTTATTATTATTATCATTATTATTATTTTTATTATTATTATTATTATTATTATTATTATTATTTTTTTTTTTTTTTTTACAAAACAAGTTTAGAAGAGGAAAAAATTATTATTATTATTATTATTATTTTTGTTATTATTAGTTTGTTTTTTCTTCTCTCTCTCTTTTTTTTGCCTGAGGCTGTAATTGATTTTGATTCTTTATTCGAGTTAATTATTGAGATAGGTCATTATGAAAATATAATACATAAACTATTAAGTGATGTTCAGTATTGCTATTAATTTATTAACGAAGAGTCATATTAGAAGTATACAGAGCTCCCAGGTGAAATTTATTATCCTGTATGGAATGCTTGCTAGCTGAGCGATAAGGGGAGGTCTCAACTTTTCAGTGACATAAGTAATGAGCGTCAAAAGATTAAAATTCACTTTATTATTTATTAATATTCCTTGGGAAAATTTTTCAACGAAAATAGATTTTGATAATATAAATTTCTCACTTTAAAAATAATTAAATTATTTTGATTTTTATTTTAATTATTTCTTATTGCTGTTTTGATAATTTGCACTACTTTAAAATTTGCTAATATTTGGAATATAAAAAAATTATTCTCGAAAATTTAAATCAAATTCTCAGAAACAATTCAAAAAACTTGAATAAAATTTAATATTTAATATTTAAAAGGTATCTAATATTTAATTTTTAATATTTAAAATTAAAATTTAATATGTACTATTTTAATCAAAAAAAGTTTCCTAAAAGAATTAATTTATTTTTAAAAAAAATATTATATTCTTTGAAAAGATTCAATTATTTTCGTAAATAATAGTTTTTACATAAAATCAATTATTTAAAAATTAAAACTCAATTTTCTCTAACATTCTTCGAAAAAATTCAATATTCTTTTTTTAAACATTAAAATAATATTTTTCGCAATAATTCAAATATTTTCAAAAATAATAAAATTCTTCTCAGAAATTCAATTATTTTTGAAAATTTTAATAAAATTCGTTGCAAGAATTCAATTATTTT